TCCCGGTGCCTTTCCCAGATTTTCCTGCCGCCCCATCCCGGTGTCCCCCGTGTCCTGTCCCGTCCCCCGGGGCCGTGTCCCCGTGCCCGTCCCTCGGTAAATTTGGGAGGCGGCTCCTCCTGCCGAGGTTTCCCATCGCAGGGAATGGGAATGGGATTTTTCAGGGATTTTTCCCTCATTTCCCGGTGCCACCCGCGCAATTCCCGCTGGTTCCTCGCTGATCCCGGCGATGCCGAGCGTTTGTTTTCCCTCTGTCCTTCGTTAACGGCTCCCTTTGGGTCACATTCACCTCATTTGCATAATTCTCATTAGCTAATGAGCCCTTTCAGCGGCACGGAAGGTGAGAAAGGGCGATCCATCCATGGGAAAAAAAAAATCCCAAGGAGGCAGAGCTGAGCGGAGGGGAAAAAAAAAACAAACCCCAAACCCTCTGGATTTTCACAATTAATTTAAAATTTATTTTTTTAAAATTTTAAAATTGTATTCTCAGAGGGGAAAACGCCCAAACTGTGTTTGATTTTCAGCCCAAATGTTTGCGGTTCGAGGTTCCATTCCTACTGCTGTCCCGGCTGGAAAACTCTGCCTGGAGGGAACCAGTGCATTGTCCGTGAGTATCCATTTATTTTATCCATGATTTTATCCATTGTTTTATCCATTATTTTATCCATTTCTCTGCTCCCAGGGGAGCTGCCAGCCCGGTGGGAAGGAATTTAGAATTCCAGCTCAGGATCAGGGTTCCTGGGATTTCCCAGCTCTGCTTTAATCCCGATTAAACCCGGGTGGTTCCAACTGGTCCCAGTTATTGAATTCAGTTTTTTAATCCCTTCCTGAGGTGTCACCAGTGCCTGATTTGGGACAGGAGGTTCCTGGGAAAGTTTTGCTCCCCAGGAAATGATTTCCTGCTTGTTCCCATGGAATAATTCCGTTAATTGACGGTGCAATTAATAAACTTTACAAACCTGGTGTCACCAGGGGTTTCTCCCGACGGGAATTTGCATCTTTAAGAGGCCTCGGGAGGATGATTGAGATAAATCTCACCTGGATTGGGAATTTTCCAGGGCTGGAAAATCCATGGATGAGTAGATGTAGGATAAAGGTGTAGGATAAAATTTATGGATGGGTTGATGCAGGATAAAATCCATGGATGGGTTGATGCAGGATAAAATCCATGGATGGGTTGATGTAGGATAAAATTTATGGATGGGTTGATGTGGCATAAAGGTGTAGGATAAAATCCATGGATGGGTTAATTTAGGATAAAATCCATAGATGGATTAATTTAGGATAAAATCCATGGCTGGGTTGATGCAGGATAAAGGTGTAGGGTAAAGGTGTAGGATAAAATCCGTGGCTGGGTTAATTTAGGATAAAATCCGTGGCTGGGTTAATTTAGGATAAAATCCATGGCTGGATTAATTTAGGATAAAATCCATGGCAGGGCTGGGATTTCAGCTCCTTGCCCAGCCCCTCCCTGGGTGATTCCCGAGGGATGATCCCAGCTCTGGGAAATTCCCGAGGTGTAACCTCGCTGTCCCCGTGTGCCCGCAGCGATCTGCAGGAATTCCTGCGGGGATGGATTCTGCTCCCGGCCCAACATGTGCACCTGCTCCAATGGACAACTGTCCCCAAACTGCGGCTCTGCTGGAGGTGAGGGAATTCTCCTGGGGATCCCCGGGCTCCTGTGCTCTCCCAAAAGGGGGAAGGAATCGAATCCCTGCAGCTCTACCCTGAAACTCTCAAAAATATTCCGTGTTTCAGCACGTCTTCTGTGGTTTTGGGGGTGCTTTTCCTGCAGAAATAAACGGGATTTTTTTGGAGTATTTTAAGGTCTGAGATGGAGAGAGTCATCCCAAGGATTGATTTTCCATCGGTGCCCAACTGCAGAGGAGCCTTTGGGATCAAGTGACCCCTCAAGGGCACAGTCAGGGAGAAGGAAATTCCCGGGATCTGCTTCCCAAAGTGCCACGTTGTGCTCCAGATCCCCCGGGATCGGATCCCATGGGGAGGGGAAGGCGCTGGAGCCACCAAATCCGGGAATCGGGATCCATGTGGGATCAATCAGGGAGGAATTCCAGGAATGCCCAGAGCGGAGCATCCATCCCATGGCTGCGGGGATGGGGGGGCTCCAACAATCTGGAATTCGCTGTTGGGGGCTGGATTTCTGTGGAAAATCAGACAAATTGTGCATTCCAGAGGCAAGAAAATCCCCTGTGCCTCCTCTGGAATAACAAAGAGCAGAGTTTCCTGCTTGGTTTCCTACTCCAGGGAGTAAAAATATTCTGGGAGTCCTCGGCAGGGGCTCTTTGGGTGGAGCAGAGAGTAGAGACAAAAACCCCACAGCTGATCCCGGGCAGAGCCACCCAGATCCCTTCCCAAAATGAGGGATCCCTTCCCAAAACAGGATTAATCCAATCCTGGGAAAAGTTAACAAGGACGAGGTGTCATCCTCCCTTTTTTTTCCCCCTGCCATTCCTGATAAATTCCATGATAAATCAGAAGGGACCTCAGGGATTTTGGGGAGTCACAAATGGGACTGGAAAGGTGTTTGCCCATTGCTTGGAAATTTCTGGATGAGGATCAGGGCTCTTCCATGGCTCCAGGCCTTGGGAATCTCCTGCTGCTCCTGGAGCT